AGACTTGGAGCATGCTCTGAAGAAATCCCATAGACAGTGGAAAAGGCAGACCCCAGAGAGAACTGCACGGAACCCAGCCCAATCAGGAAGATTCTGGGAGCTGCTAGAATGAAAAATATGTCTGGCACAAAGGGCACACCTTCAGGAAGCTGACAAAAAGATTTATTTCTTTTTTTTTTGAGCATTGACTTCTTCGTCTCACACAGCAGATCTGAGCTTCTCTACCTAAAAATCTTCCCCTTGCCTGTATTATTATCAGTTCCTACTATAAGATCCAGCTTTAGAAACTGGGCACCTCTGATATCTGTTTGTGGACTTGCCTTCAGGAAAGGGGTGAGAGGGCAATTCTGGCTCCCACCGTCAACTCAGGACCACTCACAGCAACGCTCTGCTATGAACAGCCCTCACCAAGTGAGACTGTCTCAGTGCCTGAGGGATGACACATTGAAAGAGGTGTGAAAAGTAACAAGACCACTTGACAATTTGGTGATCATAAGAGTCAAGAGAGACATACATCAAGGTTCTGCAAGGTCTGCTCCCAGTCCTCCATCATCTGAATCTCATCCTTCATCTCAGTCGGCTCCCACTCAGCCAGCTCATGTTTCTGCTCCACTGTCAGGCCTACAAAATAATCTGTTGCACTATGCAACTTGGATTTGGACCTGCCACGTGTCTGCAACACCCAGGAACAACACAGGTGCCATTAGAAAGCCAGCACTGGCTAACTGTTGCTGCATTTTCCTGTATTCAAAAAGAAAATAATCTCAACAGTCACATTAGGGGGATTCCAGTTTACAGCAAGGACAAGGAGGCCTTTCCAGAGCAGAGGTAACTCAGAGCCACACCTGGGCTGACCCCATCTGTCCTCTTATCCACCCACAAACCCCTCTACACAAGCACTTTCAGTTCAATTCAACAGCTAAAGCCAGGACTAGAGGTAAAAGCCAATGGGACAGCTTCATGTGGGCAGGTAAAACACCTCTTCATAGCAAAGATCATAAAATCATGGAATGGTTTGGGTTGGAAGGGGCCTTTAAAGGTCATCTGGTCCACCCCCCCTGCAGTGAGCAGGGACATCTTCAACCAGATCAGGTCACTCAGAGCCTTGTCCAGCCTGACCTTGAATGTTTCCAGGGACGGGGCTTCTACCACCTCTCTGGGCGACCTGGGCCAGGGTTTCACCACCCTCAGTGTAAAACATTTCTTCCTTAAATCTAGTCTGAATCTCCCCTCTTCCAGTTTAAAACCATCACCCCTTGGCCTATCGCTACAGTCCTGCTAAAAACTCTGCCCCCATCTTTCCTTTGGGCCCTGTTTAAGTATTGAAAGGCCACAATAAGGTCTCCCCGGAGCCTTCTCTTCTCCAGGCTGAACAGCCCCAACTCTCTCAGCCTTTCTTCACAGGAAATGTGTTCCAGCCCTCGGATCGTTGTTAATGATGCTAATTGTTGTGTAGGACAGATGAGGTCTCCTACCACTGCCTGGCTGAGACACCCTGAGGAGCTGAGCTTACTGCAGGACAGGCAGGATGGAGTATGCTCTCAGAACCAACACCACTCAGGAGCAATTCCCAGTGCTGTGGGGACACAGTGAGGCAGGCATTGCTTTGCAGAGGGCAAGTGCCCTACCTGGCCAAAGGCAAAGCTTCGAAGGGCTCAGTCTGGGACTAACCAGAAAGCAGGCAGGTACCAAAACCCAGTGCAGGACACCAGCTGAAAGGAGCTCCACCACAAAGGGTCTACAGCTTCTGTTGACTCTGTTTCTGGTGAAAAGCTGACATTCAGGCTGGTAAATAAAAATCTGCTCCAAAAGCCTATTTACGTTTCCATCAAGAAGGAACAGAGCAACATGCACCCCATGGAGGCACCCTAGTGTGGATGCCCACAGGTCCGAGCCCACAGGAACTTCCCCAGGAGGGAGGAGAGGAGCAAAGCATTCTGTCTCAGACCTGGCGTGGCCTTGGACAAGTCTCCTGCTTTCTTGGCACCAGCCTCCTTATTTGTTTAACTTCTATTTCAAATTATGCTGTGTGGGGGGTAACTTGCTTCAGATCTCCCTGGCACTAGGTGTTAAGGAGAACATGGAGTTGTCACACAGGGAAGAGAGAGCACTAGCTGGAGGAGGAGAAATGAGAAGGCAGCCTGGGCTTTACCCTGAGCGCAGGAATGGCAAGGCAGCCCAAACTCTTACACCTACAAGACCAGCAGCAACTTTTTGCAAGCAGGTGTCTAGGTTAAGGGCTCATCGCTGTAAAGCCCAAGCGAAGAGGGCTGTTGGGGGACTTTCTTCATCACATTTCAGACTGGGGAGCCTGCCTGCTGACCTCCTGCCAGATGAGCACGGAGGCTGGGAGGTCAGAGGGGCTGCAGAGAGAAGGTCGTGGCCCTGTGCAGTAAGGTGGTAGCCAGACCAGAAAACCCAGTACCCGCAGGTGCGTGGCCGCGGCCCTGGCTCGGAGCAGTACCTGTGTCAGCTCCGGTGCGGCATTGCGCATCTCGGACGGCAGCTGGAGCAGCGGGCTGCAGGGCTCCATCTTACAGTTCCATTTCTCAAACATCTCCACCTCCGTTCGGAGCCGGGCGTTGGTGTGGCTGCGAGGAGGAGAGGGACAGGCTGAGCCCTCGGCCCAGCGAAGCACCGCGTCTGGGAGCGGCTGAACCAGAACAGGCAACTGCAGGGCACAGCGGCCAAGCTAAAAGGGGTGGGAGGGCCTGAGGGCACCCCCACTGGGACACCAGGACTTGTCCGGACCTGCCCCTCACAGGCCCGCAGCAGCCGGCAGAGCCAGGGGCACCGGGCCCTTGCGGGGATCTGGGGCTGGAGAGCAGGCAGCCCGGCTCCTGAGCCCGACCTCAGCGAGGGGCACCCGCGGCGCAGCCGGACCACCGGGGTCTGCGGGGATGGTGCCCCGCACAAGGACAGCCGGGAGCAGTAGCACCAGTCCTGAAGGCAGCTGCCCCCAAAGCCATGCCAAATTTTAGTAGCTTTGTGATGGTTTCTCGGTGTCCCTGTTGCTGGGTCCAGACCATATGTGGTGGTTTAATCACAGGTAGACCATGTGGTCCTGCACTCATCTACCCTCACCCAGCGAGATGGGAAAGGAATCACAACAAAGGGTGCACAGATTAGGATGAAGGACAGGGACAGCTCTGTCACCAGTGATGGTCACGGGCAAAAGTCTCAACTTGGGAAAGAAAAAACAATTTAATT